GGCGGATTTCACCGAACAGATTCCTTCTGAGATAGCTTAGGCACCGCGGCGGATTTAGCAAGGCGCCGCGACGGATTTCACAGAGGCGCAGTCCTCCCTTTCTGTGTGATCCGCCGCGGCGTTTTCTTCCATAGGCCCTGGCGGGTGGCTTCTTTTCAGCTCTTCTCCATTCTTTACTCTCCTCAGGCTTTGTTTCCTGCAAAATTGACTTATAAACCCAATAAAAGAATGTTAAATCAGCTTAATTCAGTAGGAATTTTGAGAGGTTATCAGTGAACAAAGCAAAATAGATGCTTTCCAAATGTACTCGCCATCAGTAATTTAAACCTGCATCAAGAATCATGCAACTGTCATTGACAAGTCAAAGAGCTACGTTAACAACTGTCGTGGCACATATTGACAATTATCGCGGCCTAATTGACAACACAATATCTCATTTCGTGCTAAGAGTTTCCACCCACACTAACCTTCATCTTTTTCTTCCTTTGCCACTTAACTAACATCATAACAGAGCAAAACCATTAATAAGTGAATGTGTTGTTCATGACAAGTGATTTTATGACTTCATATTAGTGATTATTGACTTTTAATAACTATTCTATATCACATTATAAAAAATGGATTAGTTTTGAGGAATTAATGATATTGTATGACGTTGTATAACATTATGTAACGAAAATCATATTTTTTTAAATTTATATCAGCACATTAATTGACAACTGATGGTGCAGTGAGTGACAAGTGACGAAGTATATATTGACAATGAAGGGTGCGGATAATGACAACTAACTATGCATCAGAATGTAATACACATCTAACTTTCATTTACATCTTCATATACATGTAATTACACCGATTTTATAACCCAATTAAAAAAATATATAGTTGCATGTATCCAGTATCAAACTAATTATTTATGTGTGTTGTGACATCTACAAAAAAAATTATGTCACTTCTATTTACGAAAAAATTCTTTTGCTATCATTTGTCTAAGATCAAAGTGGCTTTTTTTTTTCCATTTTTTTCTTTTGCCGCATGTAACTACTCACCCTTCTTTGTTGCTTCTTCTTCCTCTTTTTGTGACCTCCACCAATGAGTCAAGGGTACAGAAGGTAATGGCCTTTGTGTAAAAAATTTAAAAAATCAATTAATGTAAATCTGCACAACGCTGTTACTATTGACAAGTCAAGAAGCTATATTGACAACTGTCGCAACCCATATTGACAACATATTTTCCTATTTCGCAGTAAGGGTTTCTAATCACACCAACCTTCATCTTTCTCATCAATTCCCCCTGAATCATGCCTAGACAGAGCAAGCCCACCTTCAATCTACCCACAATATACCCAGAAACAGAACACTCATAATCACCCTACCCACCTATAATAAAACCCCAACTTGAATAACCAAACACACACCAAACCAAAACACAAGCGATTTTTGCCACTGATTGACATTAATAGAGTGGATGAGATTTTCAGATGGGAATGGGGGAAGAAACAGAATGAAGTTTGGGTTTTTTCCCTCTTGCTTCCTGCGTATGGAGTGCTGATTTTCAAACTGAAAAACAGGGCAGCTTTTAGTTAGTGTGGGTGCATCTCACCAGGGGTAGAGGCGTCTTTTTACAATTCACCAAATTGCACTCAAGTCTCTTTGGGACTTCAGAATCATTACCAAATTTCCTATGACCTTTTTATAGTATTTTGTGTTGCATAGGACCTTAGCGTCATTTTCCTTTTAAATAATTTAACGCCCAGACGCGCATAGCCATCCCTATTTTGGCAATATGGAGCATAGAACCTATGGAGTGTCATGGGACTATAAACTCTTGATAAATAACTAATTTGAATTTTTTTTCAATTTTGATGAATTAGTCAATATAAAGAGTGTGCGTAAATATATATTATTTTCAAAATAATTTTGCATTAGGGATATAAAACAAAGACAAATGACCATGATGGTTATAAATACTTTTTTCCCTATAATAGAAGTCATTTTATCCCGACTTAACTTAATTCAAAATTTTAGTCCAACTTAATAACATCTATACTCTGGAGTATTTAATTTTTTTTCATTTTTTTATATAATTAAACTTAATAATAAGTAATTAATTCATTGTAAGTGATGTAATATTGACTTTTGACAAGGATATATTCGGAAAATGGTTTAAGATCAAATCAGAATCCATCAATGAGGTCCTTTATTTTGGAGTATTAATATACATGCAGTATAGCTCAATTAAGCTTGGTAGTATATGGCAGAGCGTAGATAAATATTTAAGTTTCCAAATTTATTTTTTTGCTTTTTTAAATTTTTTTCCCCGGGATTTTCCTCTTTTCTTTGTTAAACTTCCAAAATTATAAGTGTGTGTACTGTGTTTTGCTATAGGGGAATCTGACCCGATTGGGTGTAACGAACACCCGGGAATTAGTCCATGACCCAGGGAACCAAGCACGGTTTCACAATAATAGTTTACAGCAAGAAGGGATCATTATTACAAAACGAGTGGTCATTTGACTTGCGGATCTGGATGCGGCATATATATAAAAGATCCAATTGCCAAAAAGAAATCCTTTATAATTATAGCCCCCATAATCTAGATCTATCCTCCCTTCGAGAAAAAGTCTTTAAACCTTTTAGAAACCCAAAGGGACAAAATTCAAAGCATGAAGTTACAAAGAATCATTTGTGATCCGCCACTTTGACATAAGACTCAGTAAAAGATAACAAAAGGCATAGTTGTAGTAGTTAGACCTAAAGACTTGATTTTTCCTCCTATAAGATTGAATCCCAAAAAATTATAGATAGGAAAAAAAAATACCACCTTCCATCCTTAGAGATAGATAACTAATTTGATAATACTAAAAAAATTAGTTAAATTAGTTATTCTCGAAACTATTATCTTTAATCATGTGTATTAGATAATTAGAATTATTCATTAGTGAAAACTCCTTACCATCAATAATGATATTTTGGGTAAAGATGAGAGACAAAATATATTAAAGTATTATATTTAAAAGCAAATTCAACTCTTTAACTAACTCTTATATTAAATACTAGAGATGGTATTACATTTGTATAGTTATCGACTCTTGACAATGGTCGAATATATCTAATGATATCAAATACTTCCTCAGATTATAAATGTATAGCTATATATGTTAACTTTTTTTAAAATACCATTTTAATCATTTACTTCTCTAGTCCCATTTATAGAGCAAAGACAGAAGACATTTTTTATTCTATTTATAATTATAGGACACTGAGAAAAACTTTTTATATAGATGTATAATTTTACTCTTCATTTATTATTGTGTTGACTTTGTTTACATGAGATATAACGTATATTAAATAGGAATAAAATTAAAAAGTTGTTAAATTTTAAATGAGGTTTAATGAAGTTTAAAGTTCTTCTTGGTCTGTATGAAACATATTAAAAGTAACTTATAAATAAAATTAAAAGAGTATATTGGAAACTGTCTTAGTTAATTAAAAACACCTTCTTACATGAAATAACAGGGACAGTTTATGGTGAAAATTACAAATTTAAGAGTTAGTGTCGATTGATGTCATGTCTTAATTGAAACCAAAACAATCCCTTAGCAAAATTCTATATTTAGGATATGAGGAAATATCAGAGTGACAATTATATTAAATAAATAAATAAAGGCATTATTGATGATGCACATAGTTTGTCCATCTTTAATTTCTGCCTCTAGAAGAAGAAAACATGTTGCTTGTTCCGCAAAATAGAAAGGCACATGGTGGTGAACTTTGTTTCTGACTCATCCCTTCAAAGAAAAACTAATTGCTTTTTACAATATATATACTTGAAGCACAAGCCTGCTTCTCCATCAAGTTATGTTACGAATATACATATATATATATATATATATATAGAGAGAGAGAGAGAGAGAGAGAGAGACGCACATACACAGAGTTTTTCTTTTGAAGCATCGCCCATGTGTGCGGACACACATGTGCGTGGCTTTTGGTTGACTCAACCTAGTATTTTTATCATGTTGTCCTAGCTTCAATTCATAATCCTGCTTTTTTACTATATTCTTATCATTTATACTTTATATCATATGTACACTTGTCAGCTTCAAGATATTTTTGTTTTTTTTTAATTATCATTTTATATATATAAACACACTAATTATTCCCTCCACACTCTAAGCCGGAAAGTAAGCTAAAATACTATTTACTTTCAAGCAATTTTGGTGATATTTTTTATGCCATGATGACTCATATATATCGATAATTTGACTATAGTTATACTAATTAATGAAACATTAAATTAATTAACGTTTCCACAAATTCAACGCTTTATCCAGTATTAAAAAATTGACAAGGAGATGAACTCGTGAGTGCTTCAAATTATTATAATATATTAACTATTAAAAAAATTATTTAAGAGACCTTTATTTATAACAATGATAAAGCTAGCTACTCGTACTAGCTGAGAGATGATAATCCTCTCTCTAACCATTTAAGCTAATGGAAGCATTTATATCAACAAATAAAAGCAAAGCATTCATGTTGTCTTAGAGGATCAGAAAATTCACCCATTCATTATATTATATGATTAATATTAAAATTTTTAATTTCAAAAACTTGTTTTCTAATATTGGTTTGAACTTTATATAAATTCCATTGCATTTACGTGTACACAGTTACAAGCAAAGCCAGAACAACATATATGAATATATATATATATGAATTATAACTTGATACAGATAATTTTCTATCTTGTAAAGGCATTAACCTATCAAATTTTCTGTGTCATTCTTCCTCATTTTCTTTCTCTATATAATTAATAATTCACCGACACCATATCCTTTACCCTTCTTCACTCTACCCCTCGATCCAAGAAACCTAACCTCACCAAACATATATAAGCTTCGTCCAATCTCAAATCTCCAGAAAAAGAGAGACACAAAAATTAAAAGTTCTCAAAAAGCACAAAACCAGTACCATCGATCGCAATCATTCATATCATGGCTCGATCTCTGTTAATATTATTCTTAAGTTTCTTTCTCTTTGCTTGTCTTCTTCCAACAGCCACATCAAGATTAAGAAGATCCAAACAGTCTCTATCTCAGAACATCCAATGGTGGTGCGATCGAACCCCACACCCAGAACAGTGCGAATTCTACATGATGAGCCGTACCCACCGCCATGGCCACAGGCTGAAACACAAGTCCAAGTTCAGAGTCAATCTGATTCAGTTAGCTCTGGATCAAGCCAAACACATGCAATATGAAACTCGTGAAAATGCCCAGAATTGCGAAGCAGAGAAGCTTAAAGTTGTGTTGGATGATTGCTTGAAGCTTTACGATAATGCCATCTTCCATTTGAACCGAACCTTCCAAGGGCTCGGATCAAAACGTGGTCGTCGTCCGGGTTGCTCCAATTTGGATGCTCAAACATGGCTCAGTACAGCTCTCACTAACATTCAAACATGCAAGAACGGAGCTAAGGATTTAAAGCTCACAGTGCCACAATTTACAGAGTCCAATACTGTGTGTTACAATGTGTCGAAGATGATAAGCAATAGTTTGGCTATAAACGCGGCGTTCCTGACAAGATCAGAGAGAGAAGAACTCAAGAATGGGAATAATAATGGTGGGTTTGGGCAGGATGATGATGAGAAGAATGGGTTTCCGAGGTGGTTTTCGAGGAAGGAGAGGAAGTTGGTGACGGTGTCTGCGTCCAAGATAAAGGCGAATCTGGTGGTGGCGAAGGATGGCTCCGGGCATTTCAGGACGGTGCAGGCGGCGATAAATGCGGCGGCGAAGAGGAAGTACAAGACGAGGTTTGTGATAAGAGTAAAGAAAGGGGTATATAATGAGAATATTGAAGTCGATAAGAGTAACGATAATATAATGCTGATTGGTGATGGATTGAGAGATACTGTGATCACAAGTTCTAAGAGTACTTCGGATGGCCTTACTACCTATAGCACTGCCACTGCTGGTAAGCATCCCATCTCCCCCCTCCCCAAAAAAAATTTTCCACTGCTTTTCAATTTAGTTCGTTGATAACAATTGAAGTCACTACTAAAAGTCAAATTTTAAGGGATGATTTCAGAAAGTCATCACAAATGTCACACTTTTAGTGGCTATATTTAGGGTTGTCATTGAACATTTGAGTTTCAGTGTGACTATTATAATGGCCGCGGAGAGAGAGTGATTTCGAAAAGTCACTGCTGAAAGTTAATTTTTTGTAATGGCAGTTAAATGTTTATTGTTAAATTGTTTTTTATATACCTATAATAAATATAAGAACTTTTTTTTGAAAAAATATGATCATATATTTGTTAAATTGTAATTTTCATGAATTATGTTTTTACTTAATTAATTACTCCTCTTGTCTTGAATATAATAGTTAGTTGAGATGCTTGTTTTAATTCTAAATATAAGATATCATTTTATTTTATCTCCAAAATTTATAACTTTTCTTACAAACTATTGCTATTGATCCCATATATTAAAAGGGATTTCTAACAATTGAGGTAGATTTTCAAAATGTAAATGATTAAACATAGTACTTTAAGAAAATCAACTTAGCCGGTAATCTTATGGTCTAATAATGTAAAAGCTTTTTATAGATAGAAGTTTGTGGGTTTGGTCCCATGCATAATCTCATTAATTTAATTAATTTTGTTAATATCTTTAAATTAGTTATTTATCTTGTCTATTTAGAATTAGATACATTACATGTACCGTAGTCCCTATGTTCTCTTTTGGGGAAAGAGTCCTTAAAGATGTAGACATGTAAATATGTGTGGGTCCACTTGATGGGCTCACAAACCTTGTCTGTGTTGATTTCCTTTTTTTGATACAATTAATTAAAATGTATATACATGAGCATATGTCAATGTCGAGTTTTATTGTAAAATCTTTTCCGAGTACGGCGCTACCATTAGAACAAATAAAAGATATTTCTCTACTTTTTTGCTTTTTAAAAAATAAGATACAAACCGTTATGATATATTTATATATATATATAAGCCAATATATCATCACAATTATAGATTTACGTAGTCCTGAAGTACCTTTCGAAAACTAGATTTTTATATGTTGTGTAAACAACTATTATTAATCAATGGATAAAAGAATATCTCATCAATGACTTTTTTTCCTTTTGAGAAAAAAAAAAGCGCATGGTGATAGAGATAGTGGAATTAAAAAATAACATTGCTTTTGATTGGCTCATATTGTACGGGCCACTGTATTTTTCTATAGTATTTTTTTTTTAAATATCAATTTCATATATTCCCTTTTCCACAATATATATTAACTCTTTGATTGTAAACTTTTCTTTTTCAGGCATAGATGGGCTTCACTTCATTGCCCGTGATATATCATTCAGGAACAGTGCTGGTCCTCGCAAGGGACAAGCAGTGGCACTCCGATCAGCCTCCGATCTCTCTGTCTTCTATAGATGTGGCATTATAGGTTATCAAGACACTGTCATGGCTCATGCACAACGTCAATTTTACAAACAATGCTACATTTTTGGAACTGTTGATATCGTCTTCGGCAACGCCGCCGCAGTTTTCCAAAACTGCATAATTCTCGTAAGGAGGCCATTATCGGGCCAGGCCAATATGATCACGGCCCAAGGTCGAGGGGACCCGTTCCAAAACACCGGCACCTCAATACACAGTTGCGTAATCAAAGCCGCGCCAGACCTCAAGCCTGTCATCAGGTCGGTCTCGACCTACCTGGGCCGGCCCTGGCAAGAATACGCTAGAGTTGTGGTAATGAGGTCCCGCATAGACTCCTTGGTAAGCCCTTTGGGCTGGTCCAAATGGGGAAATACTAATTTTGCTCTGAATACATTGTACTTTGGAGAATATAAAAACTTTGGGTCTGGTTCATCCACAAAGAATAGAGTAAAATGGAAAGGATATCATGTGATAGCTAGCTCAGCCGAAGCATCAAAGTTCACTGTGAATGGCCTCATTGCTGGTGGTACATGGTTGCCTTCAACTGGAGTTCCGTTTACTTCTGGTTTATAGCTAAATTTAATTATGATTAAGTGACATTTTAATTATATTTGATTTGATATTTATGTTGTATTATAATTTATGCGGATGAAATACAAAATTCTATATTTGTACATTCGTTGAGTATTACATTAGATTGAAGCTTAATGTTTCATCTTTATATTACTGAATTCATATTAAAACTAAATGCATTTGTCAGATTTAGGCTTCAATATAAAATTAAAGGTTCTGCGGAAAAAAAAAATTAAAGGTAATACTAAGCTTCAATCTAGCTATCTTATTTTCAGTGGTCTCTTCTTTTTCTTTTGTCTTTTTTGTTTTTTTAAACAATCAATGGCTTTTGTTGCACAGGAGAATTGAAGAATTTTTGTGAGCTCTGGCCCAAATCTAATTTGAGCTAAGACCAGGCCCATACTGATCTCGTTTTGGATGAGCCCATTATGGTCCTTGGTAGCAATAAGTAATAACATGGGTTGTTAGCAGTTAAATTATTTTCGTACCAAAAAATTATTTTCGTATTTATTTTTTAAATATTTCATTAAAATTTTTCTGGGATAAATTTTGGACAATTGAAAATGAATTTCAAAGAAATATCATTTAAGAAAAGCAAAAAAAGATACATAATTGACACCAAAAAGTTCAAGTAGGAAATTGTGCAAAGAAAGTGAAATTACTCTTAGTATCATTATATTCACTTAATTTGCGTAGTTCAAAATGTTTCCCATTGCATATATATTTTCCAGTACATGGCTTTTCCCAAACACATCTCATTTGATTTCATTCAAAGTATTATGATTTTTATATTTTTATTAGTTCGTGTCTACGCACATGGGATGAATACATGCTTTCGTTCGACATTTAAAAATACAACTTTTCTCATTGAGTTACAAAAAATAATAAATAAAACCACTTCACTCCCGCATAGTTAATATGAAAGTCATGCAAAAGCTTTGCTTTTACATTAAATAATTGATTAATGTTTTCCCTTGAGTTCTTCAAAAAAATTTAATAATATTTTATCATTAATATATATAAATTATGACAAAAATTGATAAAAATTATTTGTAAAAATACATTGGTGAATTTTACTATTTTTGTTGAAACAATTATGTATGTATATGTGTGTGTGCAGCAAATACCCTCTGAGTGCTTGATTATTTAACATAAGAATTTTCATAAACATATAGAATATGTTTTTCAGGCAAACTTTTATCTTCTTTCAATTTGCTATTTGAAGTCCCTTTAGATTTTCATACAAATTTTATTTTATAGTGATCAATATAAATAAAGTGAAGTATCAAAAGATGTGATTATTTTTAGTAAGATTATATTGAAGGTTCAAACCTTGTGAATAAAAAGAAAAAATTGGTGGCTCTGCATTTGTTTTTAAGAGTTAGAAAACTCATTATTGGCTGTTAAGAAAATTAATTAGATTAATTATTTGTAACAAATATGTATTGATTTTCTCATAATATTGTAACTACCCTTTTACAAAAATCCATTTACTTTATATGCAATCAATACAAATATTTCAGATAAAAATTATAAATTTAAGAAACAAAATAGATTAAAGTACGATGACTAAGGAACTACACCATGAGCATATACAAGCAAGGTACTTATAGTGATGAGCTATATATCCTAATTAGCAGGAAACAGAAGATACAGTGAGTGAATAAGGGAATGTATTATAATAAATGAAAGAAACAGTTTGACCAAAAGGCAAAGGTTGGCCTCCCTTAACCAGACAGTCATCAACAGCAAGACGATGGAAGACATTAGGGTTTATGACAGTTGCAGAACTAAATTCTCCACACCTTACATGAATGTTAGAGATGTCACAGCCTGTGGAACACACGTTGTTGATCTCAACCAAGTATGCTGGAATCCCACTTGGATGAGCATTTATAGGGCCTTGGTTTATTTCTATCTCTCTTATATTACACCCTGCATATATGTTGATCTATAAAAATTAATAGCAATAAGAAAGATAAAACTTAAAATAAGCAATAATATCTATAAATGCAAACTTATTTCTAAAACTTCACAGATAGAATAACAATAACAAATTGCTGGTTGAGATGATAAATGGCATTACCCTGTGAGGAGGAGAACATAAATTTGAATTCTAAAAAATGCATTTACCTAACAGAGATTAATCTTAAATTCAAAATGACTTAAAGAGTACTCTGAATTATACTCAAGAAGAATAGTGGAGAAGCATGCCCTTTTCAAGTTTAAAGCTAACATACACGCACACACCAGTAGCACCAAACTCATCGAACATACCTTGAACAAAAGCAAGCTGAGTGAATATGACGATAAAAAGAGTGAAGATGACAGATTTTTGCTCCATTAATTGAATAGATATATGAAGGCTATGTTCTCTGCACTTGAATTATTGAGGACTTGCGGTGTGTATGAGTGGTGATATGGGGTTATGAATTATTAGGTAATTAGATATCTTGGGTAATCCGTTAGGGCTTTGAATAAGGATATTCATGCATTAGAATTAGGATTTATTTATCTGTTAATATTTCGCATTATCTTAATAAAATAGGATATCTAAGGTATTCTGTAATTATCTTTAATTTTTTATCTTTAGCTTAGGATTACGATTTGATCTTGATTTGAATCTGAATTTGAATAATTGTTATTTTATCATTTCTTAAACTCTAAAAATAGAGTTAAGATTATTAGTTGTATTTAGATTCAGACTTGATTTGGTTATTAATTACGAATTTCTACTTTCCCGGCCTCCTCCATCTTCTTTCCTTTCCCTCTCCCCTTTCTCTCTCTTTCTCCCCTCTCTTCTCTATCTTTTCTTTCAACCCCCCCCCCCGGCCTTTTCCCCCTTTCCTCTTCCCTGTTCTACATCTATATATATCCAATTCCATGCTGAAGGCTGACAATGATTATATAAATATATATATATATATATATATATAACCTGGAAAATTTAACTTCCTGATTGTCCTTTTCCAAGAAAAATATAAGGGGTAAATTAATTACATAAATCAAAGTCCTCATATCGAAAGAACAGTATACATTCACATAGATAGCATATGAAGTGTCTGAAATTAATGTTAACAAAGTGTGTGTGTGTGTGTGTGTGTGTATATTCTCTTATCTTAAAAGAAGCTTCGTATAGCATCTAAATGCTTGATTTAGATTCTTACTTTATATTATTTTGTTCTTTTTAGAAGGTCAAATGACAGCAGATAATTTCGTCATAATTAATATGGAATATCTAGGATTGATTGCAACAAGATATACACTAGTATAAAATACCTTCATAACTACTATTTTTGGTGTCCATTATACAAGAAATAAAAGTTGTACCTTATTTTGATATCTACTAGTGGTCTCTTTAGACCTGACACCATAAGCTCACTTATGGCTTCTGATCAATTATGAACAAGCTCCATAAATATATAACCAACAGTAATTAAATCAAATAGAAGGAATTGATATTTCTTAAATAACATTGAGGGGTTAAACTCAAAATATATATATATATATATATATATATATAGAGCAAGTCATTTTAGAAGCATTCAACAATATTTCGTCTAATATAGTATTGTATACCAATTGATCTTCTGGCTTTTAAATTTAATCTTTTGTTTTTTTATAATTAATATTTTGATTTATAAGATTATCACAATTTATAACTTATTTACAAATTTACAATTGAGCTTCCAACATTTGTAACTGAACCTCTAAGATTTGCAAAACTTCCTCAATTAATTACAAGTTTATAACTTAGTTGCAATTCATTTTTTAAGATTTACGCATCAACTTCTGTGATTGCTATATATTCATCTTTCGCAGCTTGCAACTAAGCCAAGTGGCGATTGCATGAGGGTATTTTTATCCATTTACTTCTGTTTTAAAATCTTAGTTATCTTCTATAACTTTAAAAATTTATAATAATTTAAAATGATTAATTTCCACTGATAGCCCATTGGCCCTTACGTGTCATTTTGCCCAAAAAAATTGGTTAAGCCTGTGGGAAAATTACAATAAGGTCCCTTTTAAGACAATTAAATACAAAAATGTCATTTACATCAAATTATTTTGAAGTTCCAAGGGACGTCATTGCAAGAGATTTTATCTGTTTAATTACCAAATTGTCTTTTTTTTTTAAGTATGCATTGACAACTGAAAGAGTAGTAGTTAACAACTTAAAATGTAATGATTAACAACTATCACGACAGATATTGACAACTCATACATTACATTGTTGTGATGTGCTGAGAAAATGTGTTGTTAATATTTGCTGTGCTAGTTGTTAATCGTTACATTTTAAGTTGTTAACAACTGTTCTTTCAGTTATCAATGCACACTAAAAAAACAGACAATTTGGTAATTAAACAAATAAAATCTCTTGCAATGAGATTTTTTGAAACTTTAGAATAATTTGATGATTTTATAAGAGACTTTTTTATATTCAATTCTCTTATGTGGGAGTTTATTGCAACTTTCCCTAAGCTTGTTTGGTTACTTATTTTGAGAACAATTTTTTGTTTTTAAAAAACAAAAAAAAAACTAGTTTGGTAATTTGTTTTTAGTTGATTGTTTTAAAAAAACAAAAAAAGTAACATGTTTTTAAAAACTAAAAAAATCAAAACAATTTTTATATGGTTTCTTGTTTTTTTTTTTTGTTTTGCAAAATTTTGAAAAATCTTCTTTTCTTCTCATATACTATCCATCACCTATCACTACCAGTGATAACTATCACTTGCCAAGTATGATTTTCTATGATTTCTTTTTCAAATGTGATTTTTTTAAAATTATTACCCAAACAAATTCTTTTGTTTTTTGTTTTCAAAACTTATTCTAAGAAACAATTTTATAAAATTGTTTTGAGAATAAGAAAATAAAAAACAAAAACAAACAAACCCTAGATATTGCTCGGGTTTTGCAATTTAGAAATTTAATGCAATAATGAATTCTTCAAATTTAATAACCATTTTTGTCCTTTTTTTGTTTTTAATAAATTGAAAGGAGTAAACCCCAATACCCACCCACGGTGGAAATAATCTTCCTAAAATATTAAGAGCAAAGGAAACACTCCTTTTCAAAAGTTGTTACATCCTACGCACTATCCAGTTCTTAATACAATAAATACTCCTCATGTCCTATATATAAAAACTTCTTTTGAAGTGTAATTTACATTACAAAATGGGTGGAGGAGTATTGGCTAATTTACATGCACTAATGAAAATAATTTAATACATTAAGTTTGTCATAAAATTTAAGTGATTTCTCATATATATTATTCTCTCTAACTATACTAGATCTTAACATCATATTAATTTTTGCTTTCTCACTATCCTTAATTATTAAATATGGGCCTATCTTTAAAAAAATATTTAATGCTTATTGAAACTATCATAGGGTCATAGAAAAAGGCTCAAAAGTTTTTTCTAGAAGAGGTTTTATAATAAGGACAAGAGGAGTATTAAGTTGATTAAATTACTTTGTAATCTTTTCATTAACGTTTGAACCTTGTTCTTCAATAATAAAATTTGATATTTAAAATAATCATAATTTTCGTAGAATCTTGGGGCCTACATTGTGTTTTTTAAATTAAAAAAGGATTAAGATACAACTTTGTCTAAGAAATTTTCACTCAAAAGTACTGGGTATCTTGAAGTTTAACATCATAGCAATGCTGTCTTTTATGGTTAAAAAACTAACATTGACTACTAAAATAGTGATATTGATCCTTAATGTTTCTAGTAGGAGGAAGCAACGTTATTATGATTTTAAATTTCGGAACAAATTTACACCAAAAAAAACTTTCGGGTGCTAAGACTCTGAGTGAAAACTTTCATAACAATGCATCGTAATCCGTTAAAAGATGACTAGAGATGGGACACTCATTCTCAGTTTTGGGGCTAGATAATATTGCAATTTACAATTGCCAAATTATAATACTCCCTCTATTCCATAATATAAGAAGTTAACTTTTCTTACATACCAAGAAAAGAAAGTTTAGCATTAAATTTGTCCTAAAATATAGAGTTTTTCTATTTTATCCCTCAAAAACAATAAAGTTGCCTTTAATGTTACCACTCTGATATTTATTATTTGTCACTTACAGGAAGAGATTTTGGTCTTTTTTATTTGTCACTTATACCCTTTTTAATGCTTCATTCCTAATTCAGCCATTATTAATTATAGTAAAGGTGAAGAGAGGGTGAATGAGGCGGAGAGAAAATATATTAGCCTTTAATACTCTTCTTAATAAGGGAAAAAATGAAATATTTTATTTATTTAATAACCTCCTTGATATATGAGAAATTCCTACGAGTAATGAAACATCAGTTATCTCCAACCTTTTCAAAATGTAACAGCAGTTATCTCCAACCTGTTACTAACCTTTTTAAACTCCAAATTTAATAACACTAACCATGGTAGAAAAGAATCTTAGTATAATATTTGAAAAGGCTACCATGGTTATAAAAAGAAATTTGATTCGCCAAGAATGTTAATCATGATAGAAAAGACCTGAACTAATTATTCAAAATGTCTATCATGATTATAAGAGTTTTACTAAGCAAATTATATGAATACCGTAACTAATAATATTTCACAATAACTGGGCCTTGGGCTTTGCAAAGCCCAGCACATCACAATTCATCTCTAAGCCCATAACATGATATTTTCAGAATAAAATTTGTCCAAACCAACAGTAGTCAACTACTTTCAAAAGTTATTGTGGGTTCACAGCTTACAGACCCAAGCAACCCAGCAACAAAAGTAACTAAGACCATAAGTCTCGATTGAAACAGAGTATGCAAAAAGAGCTATATGTGGCAATATACAATACTCATCACATGACTAAAAGGAGGCTATACAAGATAAACTTGATAGCTAAGCCTTCGCTGCCTTCCCTGACGGACCAGCCCTAGAGCTATTATCTGAAAATGTTAAACCACGGGGTGAGACAAAAGCCTCAGTAACCAACAATCCTACTCATTAGGCATACAAGTAAGTGCTTGAGAGGTGTCAAGTGGAACAGTTACTAAAATCATAACATTCACAATTGTCACATGGTTATATATATATACACATATACATATCAAAATGCAATATCTCACTCTCAATTCCACCTTATTTCCTCACACCTTATTTCCTCTGACTGAACCCATGGGCTAGTACTGTCCCATGTGACTGGTAGTTCAACATAATAAGCTCACCGATCAAGTGATGTGAACAGGCCAAAATCCACAGAGCACAAGATCAGACCATGGGTTCCCCCTCTAGTCCACTAGCGGGGTGTCATACGCCCTACAACACATGATAGGGCCAAAGGATCCACCAGTGTACATCTGGCGTCCTCCC